CGTCGTCGTCCGTCGTCCGTGTCAATGTTTTACTTTTTCGACTTCTTCTTGAAAACTACAAGCCTAAATGCTTTGATACTTGGTGTATATGTACCTTGGGTAGACCTCTCAGATTTGTTCATTTTGTAATGATATCTTTAATTCTCTAATTTCGGTGAATATTTTTGTCATTTTTGGTAAAAAGTGATATTTTTAACCTTTTGTTGAAAACCGCAAGTCTGATTGCTTTTATATTACATATATAGGTACTACATGTGGACCTCTTTCAGATTTGTTAATTTTGTGGTGATATCTTCAATTATCTAATTTTGATGATTATTTTTGGTGAAAAGTGATATTTTTGAATTCTTGTTGAAAACAGCAAGTCCTGTTGCTTTGATACTATGCATATTGTTCATTTTCTAATGATATCTTCTGTTCTTTACTTGCATTTTGCATTGCTAACAGTGGAGCTATCTCAGCCGACAGGCTGCTTGTTTATACATCTCCTGAGTTAAAAACTGTCTGTTCATTACACTGGCAGGATAATGCATGTCAGCAAAGTACCTGTCCCTGTCTAAATGTCTTTGTACACAAACAAACAAACAATATTCTTGGTACATACGTAAACTTTATAATAAACTTTTTCAACCTGACTTGTGACTATATTCAGCTGTCCACAGAGACAAGTAATTTGTGAGTTTACCTCCAAACTAAAATCTTTCTATCTGGTGCAAAGTAGACAAGCATTAATTTTGTCTCCTCACTAAAATTGATTGTATTACACACACTCATGCAATACTGTAAACCACTTAATTTTTGCTGCTTGAAATTTTATCGATTTTATGGTAATATGAAAATGAAATATAACAAAAGTCACTGACACTCCAGAGAAATTTTCACTGCTACAATATCATGCAATTTTCACTGACTCGTGCAACTCTCATGAAAATGAAATGGGTTTACAGTACACCTTGTAATGAACTGTTATGTTGCATTACATAATTTGTTTGTGTATTTTTTTATTTTCATTAACCCATTCTGCATGTTGTGTGCATACTGGTGTAATGTTGCCTTCTAACACATACACGGTGAGCAATAGTTTTAATATGTAAACTGTCCTCTTATCTTATCTGTATTTCATAGATATCCTCTTTGGAGGTAGAACGAAAGGTTTGTTCTTTTCATATAGTGACTCTTTATTCAAGCCCACTTTGCTATACCTTGCATGGTGTGTTCAATGCTCCCTTTCTCTCCAACTGGTTTCTATTATACTACATGTAAATGTCCAAATGCACTTCTCTCTAACACTCGTCCTGTTTGGTTTGGACTTGTCACACTCAGGAGTCATTTTATTTTTAGCAGAAATATTCAACTTGTATATATTTATGTATTAGTTTTCACGAGTAAAGGAGAATAAGAGACATGAAGAAGAATTACAGATGAGAGAAAAAGAAATCATTAGTTTGAAACATGTAAGTATTTCTCTGTTTACATCAACCACAACAATCCTTAGATTGAAACATTCCCAGACAGTTTACTAGACATTTTGTAGTGACCACTGTAGATGCAATATGGTTACATGTCACATGACCAGGGTGTATATAATTCACAGTACCGGTAGTAACGTTTAGTGTGAAATATCACTAACTAATAACTGATATGTGATATGCAAGATAACTGTCATCACCCTATGTGTGCTCAAATACTATAGATGGAACAAAACAAATTGTGAGACAGTACTGTTTGACTCCCATGTGCGAAGCACATAATGGGAGTCTTTGCAGTTAGTGTGTCTGTGTGTGGGTATGTGTGTATGTGTGTGTGTGTGTGTGTGTGTATGTATGTGTGTATGTGTGTATGTGTGT